TCACGCAAATTTTGGCAACCAAAATAGATGTATGACATATACATGGTAGTACAATAACGTTAGGAACTGTTTTTTTCAACAAAGTATAGAAAGAATGTTTTGAGACGGTCATAATACTATCATTATCACAGCCTAAACTTGTAATATTTTAAAGAGGAACTCCATTCTTCACAAAAAAGCTTTTAAACGACTAAGAGAGTTCGTAAGCACCACATTGTCTCGCGTCTAGTTCAATCAATGTTTAAAGATGTGATGCAAATTTACTATCCTTGGGATCAATGTAATTTACAATTACGCACATAATTTTTTTCAAAGTAATTTCCGTTGATTTGTCAATCAAAATGGAAAATCGTTGATTTTTAAAAAGATTTAGTACGTTTTGTCGTTCGCTGACGCTTAAAACATTAGTAATTTAACTTGCACATTTGTCTATTTTCATGCCTATTTGTGCGACGATTTCTGGCTTTTTACACATCGTCTGCATAAAAGGGATGAGGTCGTTAATAAGTTAAACAGGAACGTTATGTTATGCTAAACATAAAGCAGTTTGTAACTAAAATTTTTTAAGTAGAAAATCATTTTCCTCTTGACTTACAACACAAATGTTTTTCTGTTTTATAGCAACATTAACGTTATCTTTATGGGTTTGAGTTTTAGCGTGCATGATCAAATCTTATTTATTGTAGCAAGTGATTAACACTGCACAGATACAGTCAGCATGCTTTTCGAGATTCAATTCATCTTTGGAAAGCCAGTGTTTGAATTTAAGCTCTTGTAATCACCTATCAATAAAAATATATGATTTTGGGTTCTTTTTGTATGCTAATATCCGTGCCACTTTTTAGTTTCCGCTTTGACAAATTTTTTGCAATGGAAGACATGTTCATTTATTTCGTAGTTAAAATTTTAATTTAGCAGTAACTAACTAAAATAATATAAAAATAAGACAATAATGACGGAAAAACAAATTTTTTGAAAATTTTTTGGAAATTAAATGCTCTTTTAAAACTTTTAAACTCTTTTAAAACTACTAAAAATGCTGCCTTTTTAAATTTAATAAACTTTACCATTGCAAAAAAAACTTCATGCTTTATAAAGTTGCATGCCGCAAGCAACAAACAAAAAAAGAGATAATTTGGTGTACTAAATTTTCAATAGTTTGTTCTACAAACATTAAGAACCCGAAAAATTGCATGCACCCGATCAACTGTGTCCTTAAATAGGCTTTTTATTTATTTAAAAATTACAGATGTATTACTTTTTAATTTCATAATTTCAGAAACAAGGCTGCTAGCAAGTATTGACCTCTACAGATCAACAACACAAAGAGCATTTTCATTTAACATGATAATGGTGCAGACGTCAGACAGGATTAGTGATTCCTGTTTAAATGTTTAAAGTCGAGAGGGTAATGTAGGATCGTCGGTTGCTGGGTTCCCAGCCTCGTGACGAACAACTCTGCTTGTGATATCTGTCAGTGAATGATTGACTTGGTTCAATAGTGTCCGACTTTACATTTCGGTTGGAAGAACGGCCATAAAACCCTCAAATTGCTACTGCTGATTGTGTTTTGGCTAGACATCTCCCGATATATCACCGGGGACGTTAGCATTTTGAACACCTCTTTGTTGGTGGCACTTGTCAATCTTGGTGTTTTGGGATAGAGATCGACGTAAGTCGCTTGTCCATTAAAGTACAGTGTTTTCGGTAGCCGGGATATCCATAGCTGCACGATTCCCATCCCTATTCTTCATGCACCGCCGGTGAGTGACTGTGATACTCGGTACTATACCTGGAGATATAATAACAAAACTTACTCTATTTCTGTCGCAATTCTTCACCGGTGGTCGGGGAATGGGAGCTAGAGAATGCCTCTTCTGTTGGTATGCTGTTGGGATAAATCACTAAGGAAAAGGCTGATATATTTACAGTTGATGTGGCGGCCTGAACTCGTCAGGGTTGCTTTTTCAGGCTCGCTGTTGTAGAAAAACCTGCTCCGATAGCATCAGGTCAGTTAAGAGAAAGTCTACAAGATTCCTAATTATTAGAGCAAACCGTGGTCTGGCAAGACGTCTTCTGGTATTAAGCCGGAGCCGTTAGCATTTATCGCCTTTTATCCGTGGCAGTCGTTAATGTTTGTGGTTTGAGATTTCTGAAAATATGTATGTCGGGATTGTACCCAGAACAACTGGAAATTTGGGTTACAATAAGTTGAAGTTTTTTTAATATTAATGCTTCAAAAACTTAAAAGTTTTTTTGTTCAATTTTTTTTTCCAGTGTAGAGTGAAATGCATTTTTTAAGTAATGCAATAGGAAAGTTGGTTAACAAGTGTAAATTGCTGAAATAGTGTAGGCAACACGAATATAGCACTTTTTAATTGACAACAATATTGTGAATGTATGCTCTAGGGGCAATACTGAAATTTTAGAGAACTTGGTAAATTTTTAGCACTGTTTAATTTGGAGATACAAGTGGATTTTGCAATGGTATGTGATTTTAATGTCAGATTTAGTACCAAGCAAACTCTTCGTAGAGGAAAAGAGGTCAACACAAATAAAAAAGAAAAGATTCAAATATTCGGTAATTAAATATAAAGGTAGTTAATAGATTGTGACGTAGTTGCTAAAGCTATCACGTTACTATAAAACTATTGCTGTGGAAAAATATCATTGATGGCTACCTAGTAAAAGAATATGTACGTATACGGCATACTATTTACTATGTGTTTCTGGTACCGTGAACTTTGAGTTCAGGAGTAAAAAGTCTCATTGAAGTTCTGGCTGAGCCGGTTTTATGTCTCAAACATGAAACTTCAGTATGGTACAGTCTTTGCACCATAAGTGGAGAGCAGTTGTGTATGTGAGCCTATCTGCGGTCTTGTATAGAGAGCAGGGAGCAATACCGTATACTCACATTTTCTTATAATACGTAATGTTTATATTTATTTAGTACGTACAAATGCATAGTGCAGTGTTTTACTTGTAGAAAACAAAAATTAGATTTATGCAAAACTAAGAAAGTGACAATTAATGTTGTATGGATACATCTGTAATTTAATTATTGTTTTAATTATCATTATAATTATTATTATCATCATCATTATTATTATTGTTATAATAATAATAATAATAATTATTATTATTATTATTATTATTATATACTAACCTACTCAAATTGTTTGAGCTGCCACTGGTGAAAAGATGTATTTACTGAAAAAACTGCTCTATTCTAAAAGCTTTTAATGACCATAAATAAAATATTTAGATATAATATATAAAAGAAATAAAATAAATGGTATTGGAAGTGTCTTTCGTGTATCTGCATGTTTCAGGGCTCTGACGATAAAGTACTTATGTATAGTAGGCGTACGGAGATACCAGTATACACACACCGCGCGCGCGCGTGTGTTTGTGTGTACTAAAGAACTGTCATGTATATGCATGTAACGCATTTTATATATCATCATACTACGACCCCAACTCCTGGAACAAAGCTTACGACGGATGTAAAACTTACACATAATCGCCATCTACTATAGCTAAACCTAACCTTAATGAAAAATCTTAGGTAATTTCTCAGCTGAGATCTCTAGTAGTTTCTGAGCTGGAATCATATGACAAAATCTGAACTGATATCTCAGCTGTGGTTTTCTATTTTTTTAACAAATTTCATTTAAAATTTGAAAATTAGAACATAAATAAAAATAAGCATTAATAAAGGTCTTGAATGAAAAAAGCAGGCTCTATTGAGATGCGACTTGAAGTACTTTAGATTGTAAGCATGTCTTTTATTTTATTTTATTTTTTCTGCTCAATAGCTTATCACTCCCGTGGCTGAGCAAGGAAGTGGAGCCCTTCTGTAAGTGTTTTTTAATCCATGGATGTCTCTAGCCTTATGGATGCAGTACTACAAGAGATAGTACGATTCATCATTGCAACTGTGTGGTTGCATGATGACGTTGCCTTTCCTCCTACTGGCACAGCCACTGATACTGAAAGCTCCGATGCCTTTTACACGAAAAATTCCAATCGATTGCACCTCCTTGGATTTAGTCTTTGTGACCTTGTGTATTTCAGTCTATTGAGTGAAGTACTGGGCTTTTCTTTTTTGTTCTAACGAAAAACCGGGAAGGGTGTAAACCAGCACAGTAGCCTTCCGATTACTAAGACGGTTGACTCTTGCTCATGCTGGCCAGGAGTCGCCCTTTTCCCTTAATTTTGCTGTAGGAGACTGCGCTGATATTATGTGGATCAGTGTTTTCTGGAAAGTGTATGCATAACGCATATTTATGGTCATTCAGAACAAGTGATTTAGAGAAAAGTTGAAATGCACGCAAACCCTTAATCAGTCCTTAAGCCCGGTGAAACTGGTTAGCGCGTCACCATGTATCCTCCTCCACGATAAATACTATAGTAAGCTAGTATTATGCAGCTCGCCACGTTCTTATTTTTTAAGGAGACGCACAGCTATATCAAGTGAAATTACTTAGTACTAACCAGGCCTTATGTTTGGGTTTAATTGTTCCACCAAGACCCCCGTACCGTGAAAGAACGATGCACACAGTCGGTCCCAGTAAACAGCCTATGAGAGAAGCTATGGCTATGTAGTGTAAGTGTGGTAAATTCTTTAAAGGAAATCTTTTAACTGTCATTAACCCATATACATAACAGTGTGGTCTTCTATTTGGTTTAAAGTTCCCTTATCTAATCTAAGCTACAAGCAGCACGATGTTTGTATTGGTCTTTAATACCGTACAGGGGAGTTATTATTACTATTTTTATTGTTCTCATCGTGATTATAATCATTATCATTTTGTTTCTGTTATTCTTGTTATTATAATTAATTATTGTTATTATTATTGTTATAATTATTGATTACTATTGTTTATTATTATTTTTATTATTATTATTATCATCATCATCATCATCATCATTTCACTTAAAGTAAATCTGTTTATAATTATATGCTTACAAAAATATATATAAAGTTATATTTTCAGTGTTTACGAAGCAGAACTGGCTGATGTTATTCCAGTAATACACACATCTTTAGCAGGATGTCGAATAATTGGCCGTTTGTGTGTTGGTACGTATTTCTCACCAGTTTAAAATTTTGATCCACTCAGACTTGCTCTAATAGTATCACTTCAAATTGCAGAACCTCTTTTTGTTTTCGAATAGTGTATTTCTAAGTGATTTATAGTCAATTAAAATATTGTTTGTTAATTTGTTGAATTATAACAAAATCTTGAAACTTTTTACTTAATAAAGTCTTAACCTTTTTAATTACGATTTAATTAGCATTATCCAGGATATTTTGCTAATTTATGGCCAATGCAAGTATTGTTGACAAATTTTTATTTTCTTAATAATTATAAAAAATGTGTTCAAGGTATTTTTCCTATATAATAAAGGTAAAATGAAAATTGTTTACATTGTCATAAATGTTCAAGATAATAATTTGCGTAATTGAAGTATTAAAATAGCCGAAATAAGTAGCCAGTACATTTTGAGATTTTAAAAGACAACCGTTTTGTATCTGCTATTTTTTAGAGTCAATAAGTGAAATGAAATTCTTTATACGAATTTATTTCTTAAAAGTTCTCGTAGCAACACTTTTTTTGCGATGCAATGTAGGTTTACTTGGCAAATTACAGTAAAAAACGCATCGAACACTAAGCTTTCGTTCTTCCCTCGTCACATAAAGTCATACACATTTCGTTTATCTTTTTTGTTAAAACATCATGTGAATACATTTTAATAATTGTAGGTAGTTTAAAATAATTACCTGTAAATACATGGATCATGGGAATGATATTATATTATGGTTTGTCTTTACATACTGCCAAATGCATTCGATTGTAGAAGCTTTCTGTACGTTTATTCCTACTAACCTTCACAACTTGTTTGTTTTCTTTTACTAGCTTTTGTTGCCCGTTGTGTAGATTAAATGATTGAAAAATTTTTCTTACAATTTTTGTTTATTCTTTGATTCAAAATGGACTAGCTAAAAAAAGTTTTATGATATTACATAGGTTTGTTTAGGGGACTTACAACATTGACTTATTTATTCATTTATGTATTTATTTGTTCAATATACGAGATAACATATCTTTTCCTTTAGTTACAAATATTATAATTTTACATTAGTAGATATGACGCAATATAGTAATGACTGTTCCAATGCACCAACATAATTATTACAAAAAAAATCTCTGCCTTTTCATAGAAAATCCAGTATTCATAATTTTTTTTTTTTTTAAGTTACTCAAACTTACATATTCGTTCATGACAGACTGCATTTGAAATTTAGATGTATTAAAAAAATAAACGTCATTATAACTTTGATTAACCAATGAACAAGCAATCTATCAATAAAATGATCTTCGATTCAAATACCTTTTTTTTTTAGGACTAGTTGTAAATGTTAATTGACGTTGTCTAGGATTTCTATTTTGGCTGTAAGGTTTGATCCTGTTTATTAATTAAATGGATCATATTTTATTAAGAATTATCTTATGTAAAAATAATATATCATTGGCTTGTCTAATTTATTGAATAGAGCAAATATTTAGTGAAGTATATATTTTTAAGTAATTATGGCAACATCTATGCATAGGTATGTTTATTTGAAATGATATTGTTTCAAAAAAATATGTGTTGAATTTTTATTTAATTGTCAAACTTGGTAATTTAAACATGACGACCAAACAGGACTTGCATAAGATAGTATTAATCTGACATAAGCAATGTATGAAGTTTTAAATGTTTTAGTATTTTAAAATTCTTTAGACCTACGCAAAACATAGAATAAAGCCCTAGATGCTCGATGTTATGAATTGTATGTGATATCTAATTTAAAGTTCTTATCAAACAATACTCCTAAATTAAGTATTTCAATTTTTCTATTAACAATTTTACTATGTATTTTATATTATAAAATTATTTTTCCATTAGAGTTACTTCTATAATATATATTACAATCTGACACTTTCGTAGATTTAGTTGTAGTTCAGTACCTAAAAAAACGAAGTCAAAAATCGGATGAAAAGTAACGGAGATACGGACTTCTTTTTTTTCCAGGAATATGAAGTATCTTAGTCTACTTTTGAATCAATATATTCCTGAACGTCTGAAAACGCCATTTGCTTTCGTCTAAAACAATCATCGCTTTTAAATAAAAGTGTATCTTTATCAATGTCAGTTGTGCCATCACNTATTATTCAGGCAATCCAGCATCGGCGACTGAAAATCCCACTGTTTTTTAGTATTGTTTAATATACATTTCTTTCTCAGGCAAACAAGCATAAAAAATTATAAATCCAAGTGATTCTAAGTATTGTTTATTAATAAAATGGTAGCTAAGGTAAACAAGTATTGGTGATTAGAAGCCCTCATGTACTTAATTACTTTAAAAAAAGTGTCCTTAGGCAAAAAAGCATGGGTGATTAGAAACCAAGCTGATTTGTAGTTTTATTAATAGATAAAACATGCCCACAGGCAAACAAACTCTGGGAATTACAAACCTAACTGTGTTAAGTATTGTTTATTAATAACAAGTGCCCACAGGCGAAGAAGCATTGGCAGTCAGAAACCAAATTGTTTTTTGGTATTATCTATCAATACATTTTTTCTTCAGATAAGTAAGGATTAGCGATTAGAAATCTAACTGGTTTTTGTATTGTTAAATAATAAAAGGTGAACTTGCGTGATTAGAGACCAAACTTTTTTTCAAGTATAATTAATATATTAAATGAGCCCTTACGCAACCAAGTATTGGTAATTAGATACCTAAAAATATTTCTTTTTTCTGTGTCTATGCAATTGTGCTACGTGTAGGATGATCAAACCACTCATATTACCACACACACACTCACTTGCACACGGGAAAGTGCCATTCTACAGAAAAGTACTTTCCTACTATAAGTAAACAAAAGAGGAGATTTAGGGTATAGGACATTACTATTAACGGTTTCCACTTCTTAGTGAATTACTTTCATGAACTTACGCATAAAAAACTCAAAAAACTTTTTTTTTCAAATTCTGACTGCACAATGCGATTTTCAGTTATTCAAGCGCTAAGGCGCTTTTATAGACAATTATTGTAGACTTCAGGAGCTCTATACAAATTGAATGTGATATTATTGTAGATTATTGTATTACATTCAAGTAGCATTTCAATATAATATCAAATTCACGAAAGGGAAAATGTATAAATAACCGCTGTGGATGTCGAACGCATGTTTAAAATGCTTAAGGCTTAGCTCGGGCCGTCATGAGGACACTTGTAAAAATGATAAAAAGACGATATCATTTGAAAACCTGTTGAATAACAATGATCCAAGAAATATTCAAAAGACTGGTGATGAAAATGTGTGTGAATTCATGAATGAGAAAAAAAAGGCAAAATGACAATATAAATAACGATATTTGTGTACACTACAGATTTATGCAAATCAATTGTAAAAACAAAAGAAGTTGATGTTACAGTATGTAAACTTGTTTCCACGAATCATTTTTTTTTCGAATACTTCAGACGTACACCTCAAAAATCGTTACAAAAGAGAAAGAAGTATAAAATTTTTTTATTTAATATAAATTATATTTTGTTCTTAACATGTGAACGTTAAATAATTTAATTTTGTTACCATATAGTTTGTGTTACGTTTTTTTGCAACCCTAGCTTAAAAAACGAAGTCAAAAATCGGATGAAAAGTAATGGAGATACGGACTTCTTTTTTTTCCAGGAATATAAAGTATCTTAGTCTACATTTGAATCAATATATTCCTAAACGTCTGAAAACGCCATTTGCTTTCGACTAAAGCAATCATCGCTTTTGAATAAAAGTGTATCTTTATCAATGTCAGTTGTGCCATCACCATAAATAGAATTTGCAAAATGTAAGGATTCAACAATCCATGCACATGATTAGCATACGGATAATAATGCATATGGATTTAAGGCGTAAATTAATATTTATGTATAAAAATAAACAAATGGTAAATTAATTTTTTTAGATATCGGAATGGTTATTTTCTTAATTAAATACAATTACCAGCAAATTATCTGTAAAAAACGCTTGACATTACAGCTAAATAGTTGCGAGATGTTGCAAAGAACGTACCTTCGAAAAATAGCAAATTTTGTGGACGCTATTTTGATGGCCATACAATAAAAATATGTCTATGATCGCAACCTTAGCATCATTGTAAAATTCAGGTCTTGACTTGACAGGTCAGACAAAAAAAAAACGAGCTCTTGATCAATCAATTTTGTCAATCCTAGCTGTCACGAGACCATCAAACATTCAATGCTTATTTCGAAATAATCGCAGCAAATGAATTAATATTTTCTTACAAAAATTGAATAGTATTTTAAAAACTGTACAAGATATATTGCTTCGAATTTTTAAGAACATAAGACTTTTCAGATACAAATTTTTTGCATTTCTAATACCCAAATGACAAAAAAAAAATCCAGTTGTATTTGTATTTTATTTAAGGCACATTACAAAAAGAAAAAAAAAATGATTTACTGCTATTTTTGCAAATTATATTGTTGTTTTGGTTATGTTCTAAACCTCTGTCTTAAAATCAAACGAACTTAATTAACTATGTCCTATTATGAGCTTCATTAGGTAGCGGAATAGCTCTCTTTCGTTGGAATATTTTAGTCTATTTACAAATACTATCTAAAACTTAAATGCTAAAATTTATATAAACATTACTGTCAAATTGTAGTAATATTACCATTTTCGTATTAAACACGATCTATACTTTAGTAAATTGATACGCATCTCTGTTCGGATTTAGATTCAAAATCTTTTTATTAAGGACATAACTGTACTTCTTGTTGAAAATTATTCTGTCTCTATTTATGCCAAATATTGTTTTAAGTTTTCTAATGTCCAAGCAGTTAGTTATCACCATACTTCTACTATTATTTCAATGACAGGCAGCATTTAGCAAAAATTTCCTCCAAAAGCAATTTATTAGTGTTAAAAATAAATGTTGTGTCAACTATCTTTTTTAAGAGTCGTAAAGGTGTCATCCCAAATTATTAAATTAACTTCGCGGTATCTT